TTTTGTGCTTTAATCTATTCATTTTCAGTAAGCACTATCACCCCATGAGTGCAGAAATTAGTTCCTGAGGGGAAAACAAATCTTGGCTATTACAAAAGCCACAGCATATAAATAGATATACCACATATCCATCATTTTAAAATCTCTTGGGGGGAGCAGTTAAAATCTGAACCTTTCTATAAAGATTGGAAAACACTGCTTTAAACTATGGTTTTCAGTATTTGAATTTTCTACATGTGCAGTATTGTTTAATCACCCATGCACACAACATAAACAGAACTATTTTCACTTTGAGAAACAAAGTTTTCTTTATTTTGAGAAAAAAATAGGTTTATTACATTTTAGGAATATTTCCACCACGAATGATAAAAGTAGGCAAAAAATGTAGTATGGCTTAAAAAGGTAAGACCTAGTAATTGCAGGTGGATAAGGTATTTCTATGCCTTAGAATATTCATTACAATCCTTTAAAAATCTATTTACATCAATCCAGATTCCTTTACAGTAAACTTGAGGTCTAAATAATCTCCTAGAAAAACTGTACCAGGCAAAATTAAACAGGCAAGGAAGAGTTTATGAAAGGCCACTGTAGTAGGGGAGAGAGAGAGAACTCAACTCCACTAAAACAAAAGGTGAGAGAGATTTTAAGCAGTGGGATGAGCTAGTAGAAAAGTACTGGAGGACACTGGGGGAGGGGATTTGTCAGAATGATTAGGCTATGTGTGTTTGCTAATTGACACTTATCAAAGTTAGACTCCTACTCTCCCAGAGAGACTAGAGAGAGGACACCTTAGCTCTCTTGATGATTCCACATCAAAGGGAAGGCTCCCAAGTCTCTGAGAAAGATGTCTCTGAGATGTAAAACTGGCAAGAGCCTGTGAGATGATTTATACCTCAAAGGGGAAGGAATGAATGGACATTTTCAAGTTTTCTAAAGTTAAAGCTCTAAGAACATGGAGGTGGGGAGCCTATAATGATGAAGAAATCTGTCTACAGTTAGCTAAGCTGAGGGAACATTAAGGCTGTCTTCGTCACTAAGCACTCTGAAAAGTGCTTTCATTTACAAGGCCCCTAAGTTAATTTGTGGTTTACTAAAATGACTTTTTATTGTTATCCTACAGCTAAAATTAATGCAACACCCCAGAGTGACTCCAAAAAGAGCAGCTAAGTGCATTAACCTGAGGGGTAAAAATGTCTCCTATAATTTTTAAAAAGGGACACAGAATATTGGTGAATTAAAATTGCAAGTAAAATATTTTAAACTTTAAAAAATAACATATGCACATTTAAGGGGGCTCCTTCTAATTCCCAGGAATGATGACTTATTGCGGTAGTTAGTATTCAGCATAATATTCCTTATTAGGAAGACTTAACTTTTCCTTTTCTTCTCTTTTTCTTATCCATCAAACCCTTTTGCTACCCTTTATTTTTTTTAGAGAGGGAGAGAGAATGGAGGAGGGTGTGCAGAGGGAGAGGGAGAGAGACAGAGAAACTTAAGTGGGCTCTGCTCCCAGCATCGAGCCTGACTCGGGGTTCGATCTCAAGACCCTGAGATCATGATCTGAGCTGAAATCAAGGGTCTGCTGGTCCACTGGTTGACAGACTAAGCTACCTAGGTGGCCCAATTACTCTTTGTAATTAAGATAAAAGAAGTAGCAAAAGGGGTATAATATTTGTAAAATGAAGAAAATTACAGAAAATGTAAGAGTGTTTAAGAGATTTTCTCCTGTTTAGTCATCAAATATATAATTTATAATTTTATTAATGCTTTAGACATATGCTTACATGATGTGAAACAAAATATCAAATGACAAGGAATGAATTTTCTTGTTTGCAAGTAGATAACTGAATAATTGTGTGCTGAGAATTATGGGGAGTGTGTTCACTATGTTCACCACTGAGAACCATGGGGAGTGTGAAATATCTTTCTTTATGTGTGTGCTGCAGCAAAATTAAATTGACTGGACAAAATAATCGTTAGCATATCTTGAAGAATTTGGGGGTTCTGTCTAGTTCTTAGCTCACTATAGCTCTTTATTTGCAATATTCTGCATGCTTTTTAAAAATAACATGGCTTTAAATTGAGAAAAGGAAAATGTGAATATTTTGAAGTTACTGTGGCGGAGCACATTCAAGTCAGACTTCACACACTGTAAAATCTGAATACTTAAATGTGAAATTGCTGAAAACAGCATCTCAAGGCTTCAGGACAGTTCATTATGGTAGGCTCTGCTGCCAATGTGATCTTGAAGGCCATAGAAAAAGTGCATTGTGTTATATTTTAAGACTGCATCATAATTAAGTGCTACTGCTGTGTTTGTGGCTTCCAGAAAAGTTATTAACAGCACTCTGTCAGATAATTAGAAACATAGATCATGCAGATATTTCTCTTAATTTGCTAGAATTCACACCCTAGTATAATTGTTCTATTCTCTTTGTTTTTGGGGAGAAGGCACTTTTAGTATCAAATTTATATGTCTAACATCTTGTTAGTGGACAAATCCACACATTTACCAAGATTTTCTCTTCTGATCTCTTGCCTACCTTAGCTGTCAAGAAATGAAAATATAGAGTATATACATATACACATACATATATATATATGAAATGCAAACATGGAAGGTATGAATTAGATATATATACAAATAGACATTTTACTTATGTAGACACAGACTACATCATATATATAGATCTATTATCTATCTATCTATCATCTATCGGGGGAGAGAGAGAGAGCGAGAGCACGTGCAAGAGCACTCTGTAAGTCATACAATAAATTTTATACAGAAATACAGACTAATTAACCTTCTTCCTTATATTGTCCTTTTGGACATTAAATAAAGTTGAAGCCTAACAAAAATTTGTATGTTCTAGTAGAAAAGTCAATCTGTGGTTTCCTAAAACCACATGTGTCTGAGGTTTCCGAGTACACACTGTCTCCCTGAAACTGTTTTACTTGATGGTTTTTGTCTGCTTGGAAACAGATCGAACCCTAATGGAGAAGAGCAGTGCCTATACTTCTTAAAGGTGATCTATCCAGTAAGAAAATCATTATCTTATAAAATGTTTTCACCAATTTCCTCCTTTGCTCCACAAAGGACTGCTCCACAGCACCCGCTCTCTAACACTTTATTTTTTGCATTTGAGACAAGGGCTGGGCATAAGGGTGGTAAGGGGACCATGGGGAGTTTGTGTTATTTTCACTATTCCATCTTCACAATACACTCAACTATAAATATTTGGAACAAAATGACTACATGTGTCTAATCTTTACTTAGATGGTAAAAGACAAGTCTTTGTGTAAATAAATGACTGATATAAGGTTCATTTCCATTTCTGAGGAACATACAGACAACATTTTTTGAGCATTACAACACTAAAGTGGAGTCTAGGGATGTGTTTGGGATTCTTTGATGAATAGTCTGATGGGGTCCAAGGAGGTTAGATTTAGAGAAACAAGAAAGTAACTCAACTGATATGTGAAGAAGAGAACAGTTTCTTTTTTCTTCATCTCTCCTCCCTGGCTTCCTTTGCTTTTTATTTTCAGAAGTGCTAGCATTGAAAATGCCTCCAGGGTGTAAAAGGAATAGAGGAAAAGGAGGGGATTGGGTAGAAATTCCAGATACCAGTGAACTTTGAGGCAAAGAGACAGAAAGAACAGATGGAAATACCAAGATACAGAAGGAGGAAGGAAGTTAACAAAGTTCTTCTCAAATGGTTATTCGTAAGCACTGCTTGTATTTTAAAATTAAAATGTTATATTGTCAAGATTCTATCGCTTTTTAAATTCATTCAGTGGCTGTTAATTCAGGGCCTGCTGTGTGGGAGGCTCTGAGGATCCTGTCCTCAGGTCCAGAGAGGCACACAGGCTCTAAGTCCTTGCTACTCGGTGTATGCTCTGGGCCCTGCAACACTCGCTCAGAATTTGCATTTTTACATGATCTCCTTTTAATTCCTATGCACGCCAAACATCTGAGAAACGCAACTTGAAATATATGACTATAAAAGTGTGTGAAACAGACGTGTCTTGACACTATGAGAAGACATACTTATTTTGGGGACTAAAGAAGACTTCACCTTCAAGGTATACATTAGACCTGAGGAAAGCACTGGAGTCAATTAAGTGAATGTATATGGTGAGGGTGGACAGTGATCTGGGCAGAAGGAATACTCCTTGATATAATAAAAAAAAACAGTTTTGCTGGATGGTAAAGTATAATATGGCAAATGGATGGTGGTGGGGGGTGTGAGGTGAGTGAGGACTAACGGTTGATGGTTTGACAAACCAGCTAAGGATCTGGGACTTTATCCTTTGAGTAATGTGGAGTGAGCCACTGGTACTTTTGAAGCATCTGTTTTTCACCATGTGGAGAATGGTTTTGAGGCAGGTGAAGAGGCAGCAGAAAGATGCCCCAGTCTTAGCACATAGGAGCCTGTTTCTTCAGGCCTGGAGTTGTGTAAATTGTATCTTAGTTATTTCTTTGTTTCAGAAATACGGAAGAAATCAGTATAGTCCTGAAAGAGTCTTAGATCTTTTTCACTCATTTTGTGTTCTAGAATGAAAATGCTTTCTTTTCAACAAAGCAAAAATCAGTAGTTTGTGAGGTCATTTTTCTAGCCTGCATGGACTAGAGGGAGGTCACTATTTGCTCTTTTATGATCAGCTTCAAGGCAGCAAGAGACAAAAGTCATAGCTATATAGAGGACAAAGTGGAACTTCTAAATGGATTTAGTTTAACTATTTAGATTTATTTTATTCATTTATGATTTTATTTATTTTTTTATTCATGAGAGACACAGAAAGAGAGAGAGAGAGAGAGACATAGGCAGAGGGAGAAGCAGGCTTCCTGTGGGGAGCCTGACATGGGACTTGATTCCAGGACCCCGGGATCACTGCCTGAGCCAAAGACAGATTCTCAACCACTGAGTCACAAGGCATCTCTAGTTTAACCTTTCAGATTTAAGATGCTTAATTCTCTGAGATCTGTTCTTACTGAAGTACATCAATGATGAAAATAGCCAAATCTGAGCATCAGAAGATCTGCCTGTCTACCTGCTGCATGATCTTCATAGTTCTGGGAAGCAAAAGTACTTTAAAACAATAAGGGCTCCCTTTTCTCCGCATCCTCTCCAACATTTGTTGTTTCCTGCCTTGTTAATTTTCCCCATTCTCACTGGTGTGAGGTGGTATCTCATTGTGGTTTTGATTTGTATTTCCCTGATGGCAAGTGATGCGGAGCATTTTCTCATGTGCATGTTGGCCATGTCTATGTCTTTCTCTGTGAAATTTATGTTCATGTCTTTTGCCCATTTCATGATTGGATTGTTTGTTTCTTGGGTGTTGAGTTTAATAAGTTCTTTATAGATTTTGGAAACTAGCCCTTTATCTGATAGGTCATTTGCAAATATCTTCTCCCATTCTGTAGGTTGTCTTTGAGTTTTGTTGACTGTATCCTTTGCTGTGCAAAAGCTTCTTATCTTGATGAAGTCCCAATAGTACCCACCATTTGCTTCAACGTGGATGGAACTGGAGGGTATTATGCTGAGTGAAGTAAGTCAATCGGAGAAGGACAAACAGTGTATGTTCTCATTCATTTGGGGAATATGAATAATAGTGAAAGGGAATATAAGGGAAGGGAGAAGAAATGTGTGGGAAATATCAGAAAGGGAGACAGAACATAAAGACTCTTAACTCTGGGAAATGAACTAGGGGTGGTGGAGGGGAAGGAGGGCGGGGGGTGGGGGTGAATGGGTGACGGGCACTGAGGGGGACACTTGACGGGATGAGCACTGGGTGTTATTCTGTATGTTGGCAAATTGAACACCAATAAAAATTAATTTATTAAAAAAACAACAACAATAAGGGCTTATATCTGGGATTATGAGTGTGTGAGTGTATGCATGCATGTTTATAAAAGTGACAGTGGATAACTGAGGATGAATGAGATGGGAGGGTATGTGTGTGTATAACAGGCTAATCAGTTCTGAGCAGTGATGGAAAGGTCTCACCATGGACCTTTATAACTATGACAATTTCTACACTTGAACTGAACTCAGAATAAAATAAAATAAACTATTTAAGATCACTTTCAATACGATTTTCACAATATCTTATGCAATCCCTGCTGCAAACCTGTAAACTCAGCCTGAATTATCTGCAAACACTGACTCACCAGAGCATAAAGTTGTCAGAAACTCCAACAGCTATTTAAAGCCTGTGTGGAAGCAAGTGAGCATTACTATCAATATTCAGACACACCACAACCTTCCATAACTTGTACTTCAATCCAGATTTGAATCTCTAAGAAAGAACCTTATTTTTGTACTTTTGTCCTTTCTGTTACTTCTTTGTTGACCTGTTTGATCTCTTATCCCAGTTCATGCCTACCAACATATATATTAGACAAGAAAATTCAGGTTCTACTCAGGCTCCATGGAGCTCAAGCACCATAGGGAGCAAGTAAGTCAAGGCAGTGTTAGCAACTCTATGTTCCATACAAATGGGAAATATGGGTAAATATTTCTTATGTTTTAGCAATTCTGATTCTTCATATGAGGGCAATGACGTGCAAATTCTTTACTTATGTTGTTATAAAAGATATTTTTTAAGAGTAGTTTTAGGTTCACAGCAAAATTGAAGGGAAGGTACAGAGATTTCCCATACACCTTTCTGCCCCTCCACATGCACAGCTCCCCCATCATCACGATCCCCCAAGCAGAGCTGCTCATTTGTTACAGCTGATGAGTCTACACTGACACATCACAATCACCCAAAGTCCATAGGTTTTACTCTTGGTGATCTACATCCCATGGGTTTGTACAAATGTATGCCATAGTATCATATAGAGTATATTCACTGCCCTAAAACTCCTGTGCTGCATCTATTCATCTCTCATTCCCCCACCCATAATCCTGGCAACCATTGTTTTTTTTTTTTCCTGTCTCCATAGTTTTGCCTTTTCCAAAATGTCATATAGATGGAATCATACATTATGTAGCCTTTTCAGACTGGCTTCTTTCATTAATAATATGCATTTAAATTTCCTCCATGTCTTTTTGTGGCTTGATAGCTCATTTCTTTTTAGAATTGAATAGTTTTCCATTGTCTGACTGTTCCACAGCTTATTTATCCATTCACCTCCAGAAGAATGTTCTGGTTGCTTCTGATTTTGGGCAATTACGAGTAAGGCCAGTATAAGATCCATGTACAAGTTTTTATGTGGACAAAAGTTTTCATCTCCTCTGTGTCAATACCAAGAAGCACAATTTCTGGATCACATGATAGGAGTATGTTTAGTTTTGTAAGAAATCATCAATTGTCTTCCAAAGTGGCTGTACCATTTTGCATTCCCACCAGTAATCAATGAGAGTTCCAGTGCCTCCACACCCTTGCCAGCATCTAGTGTTACTATTCTGGACTTTGGCCATTCTGATAAATATGTAGTGGTATTTCACTGTTCATTTTAATTTGCATTTCCCTAATGACCTTTGATGTCGTACATCTTTTTATATGCTTGTTATCTGTTTATCTTCTCTGGTGTGGTGTCTGTTAAAACCTTGAGTCCACTTTTTTATATAAATTTATTTTTTATTGGTCTTTAATTTGCCAACACATAGAATAACACCCAGTGCTCATCCCGTCAAGTGCCCCTCAGTGCCCGTCACCCAGTCACCCCCACCCCCGCCCACCTCCCCTTCCACCACCCCTAGTTCGTTTCCCAGAGTTAGGAGTCTCTCATGTTCTGGCTCCCTCTCTCATATTTCCCACTCATTTTTTCTCCTTTCCCCTTTATTCCCTTTCACTATTTCTTATATTCCCCAAATGAATGAGACCATACAATGTTTGTCCTTCTCCGATTGACTTACTTCACTCAGCATAATATCCTCCAGTTCCATCCACGTCGAAGCAAATGGTGGGTATTTGTCATTTCTAATGGCTGAGGAATATTCCATTGTATACATAAACCACATCTTCTTTATCCATTCATCTTTCGATGGACACAGAGGCTCCTTCCACAGTTTGGCTATTGTGGACATTGCTGCTATAAATATCAGGGTGCAGGTGTCCCGGCGTTTCACTGCATCTGTATCTTTGGGGTAAATCCCCAGCAGTGCAATTGCTGGGTGTAGGGCAGATCTATTTTTAACTCTCTGAGGAATCTCCACACAGTTTTCCAGAGTGGCTGCACCAGTTCACACTCCTACCAACAGTGCAGGAGGGTTCCCCTTTCTCCACATCCTCTCCAACATTTGTGGTTTCCTGCCTTGTTAATTTTCCCCATTCTCACTGGTGTGAGGTGGTATCTCATTGTGGTTTTGATTTGTATTTTCCTGATGGCAAGTGATGCGGAGCATTTTCTCATGTGCTTGTTGGCCATGTCCACTTTTAACCAGGTTATTTGTTTTCTTATTGTTGAGTTTTAGTAGTTCTTTGTATATTTTAGATACAATTCTTTATTAGACATGTCTTTTGCAAATATTTTCCCTTAGTTTGTGACTTTTCTTCTTATTCTCTTGATATTATCTTTCTCAGAGGAGAAACTTTTAATTTTAATGATGTCTAGCTTATCAATTCTTTCTTTTCATGGTTCATGCCTTTGATGTTTTAGCTGAAAGGTCATCACCAAATCTAAGGTCATCTGGATTTTCTCCAATGTTATCTTCTAGGAGTTTTAGAGTTTGATTTTTACATATATGCTTATGATACATTTTGAGTTCATTTCTGTGAAGTGTATAAGGTCTGTGTCTAGATTCATCTTTGCCTGTGGATGTCTACTTGTTCCAGTACCATTTGTTGAAAAGACCAACTTTACTCCATTGTATTGCTTTTGCTCCTTTGTCAAAGATCAGTTGACTCTGGGTCTATTTCTGGGATCTCTATTCCGTTCTATTCATCTATTTGTCTATTCTTTCACCAATACCACAGTCTTGATTATTGTAGTTTATGATGAATTTTAAAGTCCTGTATTATCAGCCCATCAGCTTTAGTCTTCCTCTTCGATATTATGTTGGCTCTTTTAATCCTTTTTTTGTTTGTTTGTTTCCCCAAACCCAGTTGTCAAAGATGCCATCTTGTTCTCTTAGATCAAATAAAAATTTTATTTTAGAAACTCAGAGAAGGGCAGCCCGGGTGGCGCAGCGGTTTAGCGCTGCCTGCAGCCCAGGGCGTGATCCTGGGGACCCGGGATTGAGTCCCATGTCAGGCTCCCTGCATGGAATGGAGCCTGCTTCCCTCTGCCTCTCTCTCTGTCTCTATGAATAAATAAATAAAATCTTTAAAAAAAAAAGAAAAAAAAGAAACTCAGAGAAGTTTAAAGATATACACAAAGGATTTTCCCAATTTATGTTTCATAAAATTACATGTGAATTCAATTTTGAGTAAATTAATGCTCCTAGTTCTCTGTAGTTTTATTTAAATTAAACTGCCAGGGATCCCTGGGTGGCGCAGCGGTTTGGCGCCTGCCTTTGGCCCAGGGCGCGATCCTGGAGACCCGGGATCGAATCCCACATCAGGCTCCCGGTGCAGGGAGCCTGCTTCTCCCTCTGCCTGTCTCTCTCTGCCCCTCTCTCTCTGTGTGTGACTATTATAAATAAATAAATTTAAAAAAATAAATTAAACTGCCAGAAGAGTATGGTGGAACAAGGAATATACACACATATATAATCAATCCTACTGCTAGAGCACATGAAGTCATACTGAGATACTGAGTTTGGCTATTTTGAGAAAGAGAGCATGGTTTCATTGTCATCTCAGTCATTATCTTCAATAACCACAGCTAACATATATAAAAATGGTGGCTATGTAAGTCTTTTAAATCCCTTACCCATATTAATCGATTTAATCTTCAAAATGATCCTATGATGAAGATATGATTGCCTCACTTTTCAGACTAAGAAAGTCAAAGAGTAGTTAAATAATTTCCCCAACATCACAGAGCAATAGCAGAGCTGTTACTGATCAGGCCTGAAAATGTGAGTGATTGATTCAGAGTGGAAAGATGTAAAAGATTTTTAAAATCAAGGAGGTCTGGGTTCAAAACTGGACTCTAAGGATTAAAGTACAGACTCTTGGGGCATAGTG